TTCTCTTGTCTGCAGGGCTACTGCCGGCGCAGCGTCGGGCTTGCGCATTCCTGCCATCATGGCGCTGACGTGTGCTTCCATCTCCGCCTTCGCCCGCGCGACGCAATCGATCCCTGCGCTGGCCAACAAGGAAGGAGCTGTAGAAGGTGAGCGAGGAAGCAAGGAACGTGAGCCGACACCTTGAGCTCGAGCTCAAAACAAAGAAGCCAAAACCTTGATTCCCTGACACAAAGGGCCCCAAACGCGATCAACATACAGGGCTCGACCGCTTCGGCCAGTGGACGATCAACTTGCCCTAAGTGGCCCCCCATGGAATCTTGCTCTACCCATGATTGCCAGAGCGGGCCCCAAGCAATGTAAGCCCGCGCCATCGTTGTACACCCCAACGCGGCATAACCACTGTGCAGGGCCCGCCGCCGCGGCGTCCTCGGGCCCGTTGAATCCTCAGCCTTCGGCCCTCAGTGATGAACAGCACGGGCCCCGGAATCTCCGGGGTAATCTTGGCCCAAAATAAATCAGAGGCAGCAGCGTGGAATGGGGCCCCCCCGCCGCAGTGTCTCGACGGAGAACCGCGGGTCACGCCCAGAGGCCGCGAGGAGGACATCCACCTCCATCCTCCTTGACGCCCGCCACCTCACCCTCCTCGGCCCTCCGCAACAAGCACCTGGTCGCGCGCCTTCTCAGGCAGCGCCACCCTGGCATTCCCCCCCCATCGTCCTCCTCCCCCTGGCCGCCCTGGTCCTCCTCCTCCTCCTCCTCGTCCTGCTGCTTCTCCTCCTCGCCCTCATCCTCTTTCTCGTCCTGCTGCTGTTCCTCCTCCCGCCCCCCCCTTGCCTCCTCCTCGCCCCCCCCCCCTTCCCCCCCCGCCTGCTCCTGCGCCAGACCATGGATAAGACGCGGCAGGCTGCGTGGTTTAGACGGCGCCGATGCGCATATATCCGCGGGCAGCTTGCGCGCGGGCGAACGCGCAATCGACCCCCGCGGCGTCGCCCTCCCAACTTCAAACTAGGCGGCGCAACGGACCGTTTCTGTCAAAGCCTCGCCCCCCCCCCTCGGGGGCGGTTAACCCACCCATCCCGCTAGCAGGCCGCGGCGGCCTCGGATGAGAAATGCAGGGCCCGGGGCCTCGCGGAGACCCACTTGCGCGAACCGGGGGGGGGGGGGGCAGAGTTGTCCGCCCCCAATCATTGTGAGCCCTCTACCCTCCCTCCGCCCCCCCCCCCCCCCCCTACTTTCCCCCCCCCCCGCCCCCCGCCCACCCCCCCCCGCCCTTCCTCCGCCTCAGATCCCTGGGGGAGGGCGGCGGTGAGCGGTGCGGGTTGCAGTTGCGCGCCCGCGGGCGGGTTGAAATTGTCGCCCAGTTGGGTTGCGGTTGCGCGCCCGCGGGCGGAAATGCGTCGCCCATTCTTGCGCGCCCGCGGGCGGGTTGAAATGCGTCGCGTTGCCTGCGCGCCCGCAATGCGCGCCCGCGGGCAGGTGTCGCCCAGATTGCGGTTTGCGCGCGCCGCGGGCGGGTTGAAACGCCTGCGTCCAGTTGCGGCTGCCGTCGCGCGCCCGCGGGCGGGGCGAAATGCATCGCCCAGTTGCGGTTGCGGTTGCGCGCCCGCGGGCGGGTTGAAATGCGTCGCCCACTTGCGGTTGCGGTTGCGCGCCCGCGGGCGGGTTGAAGTGCGTCGCCCAGTTGCGGTTGCGGTTGCGCGCCCGCGGGCGGGTCGACATGCGTCGCCCAGTGGCAGTTGCGGTTGCGCACCCGCGGGCGGGCTGAAATGCGTCGCCCAGTTGCGGTTGCGCGCCCGCGGGTGGCTCGAAATGCGTCGCCCAGGTGCGCTCGCTGTTGCGCGCCCGCGGGCGGGTTGAAATGCGTCGCCCAGTTGCGGTTGCTGTTGCGCGCCCGCGGGTGGCCCGAAATGTGGCGCCCATGTGCGGTTGCGGCTGCGCGCCCGCGGGCGGATTGAAGTGCGTCGCACAATTGCGCATGCGCGCCCGCGGGCGGGTTGAGATGTGTCCGCCCGCAAAAGTGTGGGCTCTCTACCCTCCCTCCGCCCCCCCCCCCCCCCCCCCTACTTCCTCCCCCCTCCCGCCCCCCCCCCCCGCCCCCCTCCCGCCCTTCCTCCGCCCCAGATCCCCTGGGGGAGGGCGGCAGGTGAGCGGCGCGGTTGCAGTTGCGCGCCCGCGGGCGGGTCGAAATGCGTCGCCCAGTTGCGGTTGCGGTTGCGCGCCCGCGGGCGGATCGAAATGCGTCGCCCAGTTGTGGTTGCGGTTGCGCGCCCGCGGGCGGGTTGAAATGCGTCGCCCAGTTGCGGTTGCGCGCCCGCGGGCGGGTCGAAATGGGTCGCCCAGTTGTGGTTGCGTTTGCGCGCCCGCGGGCGGGTTGAAATGTGTCGCCCAGTTGCGGTTGCGGTTGCGCGCCAGCGGACGGGTCGAAATGCGTCGCCCAGTTGCGGTTGCGCGCCCGCGGGCGGTTTGAAATGTGTTGTTCAAGGTGCCCTCCTGACGTTCAGTCAGTCAATCAGTCAGTCGATCAGTCAGTCAGTCACGGGCGCGGAATGTCACCCCGCTCCGATGGGAAAAACATGCGGGGCGAGGTGCCATCATTGCTTGAGCGGCCCAAATCACAAGTGACGCATCTCGACATCGCGCGAATAATCACAGGCATCCGAAACTGAAACGCCGCAGCTCCGCCGCAGCCACAGCCGCTGGAACCCGCGCAACAGCTGTAGCCGACAGAGACCCAGCAGACGCCGCCGCCGGCGCGTCCGCCGAAAACGCCGCAGACCTCACGGGGCGTCTCGCGTGACTTCTCGCGAGGACAAGGGGGCCCAAGACGGACCAATAAAGCCTTGAGAAACCCGGGAATCTGTCCATCCGAGATGGCCCAAGAGCGCCCGAAGATCCCCTCCAGACTGCACAGAAGACCCTCGAGACGCCCCAAGGGGGCACCAGGATGCCCCTTGAAAGAATCCCAAAGAGGAAATTTGTTGGACTCCCAACAATTGTGCGCATCACCTTCGGTGGATCTCTCTCTGGGGCCACGAAGCGTGCAAAGGGTGCGCCGAAATGGGGCGGGGGCGCGCGCGGGCGCAGCTATTGGGAATCCGGCGGCGCTCCACATGGGGCCACGAAGCGCGTGGGCCGTTTGCCGATGTGGGGCGGGGCCGCCATGCGAACGTCGCCACTGGAGCTTTCGGTGGAGCTCTCTATGGGGCCACGCGGCGCTGTATTGGGTGGGTGGCGCGCATGGGAACGCCGCCACTGGGGCCTTTGGTGGGGCCCCCAGCGGGGCCGCGAAGCGCCGTGCTGAGTGGGGAGGGGCCCATGCGAATATCGCAAGTGAGGCCTTCAGTGGAGCTCCGAAGCGGCGCGCTACGTGGGGGGGGGGGGGGGCGCATGCGAACGCCGCCAGTGGAGCCCGCGGTGGAGCTGTACTGACTGGGGGGGGGGAACGGGTGCGACCACCACCACCGGGGCCTTCGGTGGAGCTCCCTATGGGGCCACGCAGCGCTGCATAGGGCGGGGGGAAACGCGCGCGAACACCGCAGCTGAGGCCTCCGGTGGAGCTCCACACGGGGCCACGAAGCGCTGTGCTCGGTGCGCCACTGGGGCCCCCAGTGGACAGCGCTGTGTTTGGCGGGGAGAAACGCGTGCGAGCACCGCCAACGGGGCCTGGGGTGTAACCCCCTTGAGGCCACGAAGCAATGTGCTGGGTGGGGGGGGGCGCGAGCGAACACCGCCACTGGGGCCTTCAGTGGAGCTCCCCATGGGGCCGCGAAGCGCTGTGCTCGGTGGGCCACTGGGGCCTCCGGTCGAGCCCCCTATGGGGCCACGGAGCGCTTTGTTGGGTGGGGGAAACGCACGCGAACACCGCCGTTGGGGCACTCTGTGGATACCCCTATGGGGCCACGAAGCTCTGTGCTGGGTCAAGAGAAACGCATGCGAACGCCGCAACTGCGGCCTCCGGTGAAGCTCCGCATGAGGCCACGCAGCGCTGTACTGGACTGGTGAAGCGCATTGCGAACACCGCAACTGGGGCCGTCGGTGGAGATCAATCTGGGGCCACGAAGCCCTGTGCTAAGTGGGGGAAACGCATGCGAACCATGCCAATGGAGCCATCGGTAGAGCTTCCCATGGAGCTACGGAACGTGCAAGGGGCGTGCCAACGTGGAGGGTGGGCGGTATAGGAACCATGCCAGTGGAGCCTTCGGAGGAGCTCCCTGTGGGGCCACGAATCGTGCGAGGGGTGTGCCAACGTGGAGGGGGGGCGACATGCGAAGCATCTCACCGGGGTCCTCGGTGGAGCTCCCTGTGGGGCCACGAATCGTGCGAGGGGTGTGCCAAACTAGAGGGGGGCGGCACGCGAACCATGCCGCTGGGGGGGGAGTTCCCCATGGTGCCGCGGAGCGTTAGAGGGGCGTGCCAAGGTGGAGGGGGGGGGGGGGGGGGCAAAGTGGATGGGGGGGCGGCGAGGGGTAATGTGACAGCTCCGAAAACATTCCTCATGAAAAAGAAGGATCAATGATTCGTACATGTTGTGTTGTTATTAAATCGGGTAACCAGATCGACGCGTGCTCGTGCAATTTAAGAGAAATATTGGCTGTTGTCTTGTTATGCGCAGAAGTGGTTGGGACACATGTTTTTCTTTATATGTTTGAGACCATCGTGAGAGCAGTTTGTTATTCCATGTGATTGATTCCAACAGACGCGCAGTGTTTGTTTCTATGTCATGCTCGCTTGTTCGAGTTCGGGCATTTTAAGAACGCTCGAGTTGTTCGCTGGGACCCTCGGTGGAGCTCCCTATGGGGCCGCGAATCGTGCGAAGGGTGTGCCAAAGTGGAGGTGGCGGCATGCAAACCATCTTGCTGGGGCCCTCGGTGGAGCACCCTATGAGGCCACGAAACGTGCGAGGGGTGTGCCAAAAAGGAAGGGGGGCGGCATGCGAACCATCCCGCTGGGTCCTCGGTGGAGCTCCCTGTGGTGCCACGAAACGTAGGAGGGGTGTGCCAAAACTAATAATACCAACGCGGCTTGGAGGCACGCGGAGTCTTCGAATGCCACAATCTCTCGCGGGGTGAGGCAGCCGTCTCGGCTTTATATGGAACAAGCTACTCAGACAGCTCAGGAGATGTAAACGAGAACGCGCAGCAATTCACGAATCCCACCAGCCCTTTGGGCGTGAGTGGTTTAGAGAGCCCGCTCTGTTCTCAACCCCCTCCTTCCCCTTCGGGGAGGGGTTTACCCCTCCCCCTACCCCTGGGCCTGGAGAGGTCCTTCCGCGGGTGGTCGGAGGGGTCTTTTTCGACTCCTGGGAGGGCTAAAATTCGACACCCCTCACGAGGATCGTGGCCCCGACGGGGGGGGGGGGAACATGCTCGCCCCATCTGTGATCGATCGCCCGAAAGATGGCCCCAAGATACCTCCCAGACCCCTCCCAAAGAGCCCCAAGACGGCCCCAAGAGCGCCCCGGGAGAGCCCGCACAGGGCTCCGAGACCTCCAACATATCGCCCAGAAGGCCCTAGTATATCCCCAAGATGTCTCCACATATCGCCAAGAAGGCCCTAGTATATCCCCAAGCACTGCGACAACGACAACGACTACGACTTCTACCGCTACTCCCACCGCTACCACCACGACTCCTACTACAACAACAACAACTACTCATAAATCTACCGCTAGTGCTACTGCTACTGCTACTACTACTACTACTACTACCCCACTACTATTATTATTACTACTACTACTATTATCACTACTACTACTACTACTACTACTACTACTACTACTACTACTACTACTACTACTACTACTACTACTACTACTCTCACTCCTCACTACTACTACTTCTTCTTACTACTACTACTCTTCTTCTACGACCACTACTGCTGCTTCTGCTACCACTACTACTACCACTACAAATTCTACTACGACGGCTACTGCTACTGCTACTGCTACTGCTGCCAGTGCTACTGGTAGTGCTATTACTACTACTGCTACTACTACCACTTCTTCTTCATCTTCTTCTTCTACGACCACTACTGCTGCTTCTGCTACCACTACTACTACCACTACAAATTCTACTACGACGGCTACTGCTACTGCTACTGCTACTGCTAGTGCCAGTGCTACTGGTAGTGCTATTACTACTACTGCTACTAGTAGTAGTAGTAGTAGTACTACTACTACTACTACTACTACTGCTACTACTACTACTACTACTACGACGACT